TCTCTCTCTCTCTCTCTCTCTCTCTCTCTCTCTCTCTCTCTCTCTCTGTGTGCATGTGTGTGTCTTCTGTGTATGTGTGTCTATGTGTATGTCTTCATGTATGTCCTGGGTTTGTGTATGTATGTATGTATGTATGTATGTATGTATCTGTGTCTGTGTGTGGGTTTGTTTTCTGTGTGTATGTATGTATGTATGTCTCTGCGTGTGTGTATGCTAATGAGAACACATGCACTTGAGTAATGTAGAGGTCGGAGGACAATCTCAGATGTCCCTTAGGAGCTGTCCAATGCCACCCATGCCCAGTCTGGTTCTCTCACAGGCCTGGAGCTAACCAAATAGGCTAGGCTGGTTTGTCAGGGAGTCCTAGAGATTCACCTGTCTCTGTTTCTCCAGGGATGAAATTACAAGCACATTTCACCAGGCTGAGTTTTTTCGTTTTTTTTTTTTTTTTAAATATAGATTCTGGGAATCAAACTCAGGTCCTTGTACTTGCAAGTATTTGTCCCCCAGACCAGGAAGTAACATTTTGTCGTTGCATTCTTTCTCGTGTAGTCCTTGCCCTGCTGGCTGCGCATAATCTTGCACTGATGCTTCCGGATCCCCCATGTTCACTACGAGGTAGCAGACTGCTATTCATACTTCTCCAACTTCTTCCTGCCAGTCAGAGCCCTGCAAACTGCATTTACTTCCATGAGAGGAATTTCGAGCAAATCCAATTGCACAGTTAATCCCTCTTCTACCCTAGGTCCAGTGTTGGAAGAAATTCTATGCCAAATGCTTTCTAAAGCCAACAATCCTCCCCTGGATTTGTCCTCTTCTGGCTTCTTTGTCTGCACACGTGCCCAGTCATGCCGGCATCACTAACCTGTTAGAGACCTTCCTGCTAGCAGAGGGGCTAAGATAGCAGACCATGAGCTCTGGGCCTGGCACCGCAGGCCTGGTTTCCTAGATATGCTTGGCACAAGAAGATTATTTTACATTTTTCTGGTCTCTGTTTTGTCTTCTGTAAAATGGAGAAGCCGATATCAGCCCCTTGGACTGTGGGAGCAATACAAGGTGTGCAGGATTCCAGGTCCCCTAGAAAAGCTAAATATTTCCTTTCTGTCTTTCTCTGTGAATGTTTGAGTGCCTGAGTGTGGCATAGCCATGTGACCGTGTGCATATAAAGGGCACAGAACAATTTTAGGTGCTGGGCCTCGATTTCAACCTTATTTGAAGCTCAATCCCATGTTTGCTTCTAGCTGTCCTGTGATTTTCCAAGGAGTCCTGTGTCTCCACTTCCCATCTGACTGTAGGAGCCCTGGAATTACATACAGACTCACTCTCCAGTCTCCAGCTTTACGTGGGGTCTGGGGATTTGAACTGAGGGAGGTCCTCACACCCGCACAGGGAGTGCTTCGTTTACTGGGCCATCTCTCCAGCCCTAGACGTTTTTATTTGAACACAAAAATGACCTTAAAATTAGGGGAAAAAAACAGAAATTAAAAGTACAGTGTAAAGCCAACTCTGGTGGCATATACTTGTAATCTTTGCACCTAAGAGATAGAGGCTGAAAGGTCAGAAGTTCAAGAGCTTTCCCAGCTACAGAGTGAGGTCCAGGCCAGCCTAAGATACATAAGACACTGTCAAAAAACAACCATAGAGATGTGGGGGTTGGGCATGTTGGGAAGCAAATGCAGGAGGATTGATGACAAGTTCTAGGCTGGCCTGCTCTATCTACATAGTCAATTCAGACCAGCCAGGGCTATCTCAAAAATAAATAAATAAATAAATAAATAAATCTCAGCATAATCTGAAGTTCATACAAGGCAACTAACTTGCAAGCAGCCAGCTGATCACTTTGTGTGTGTGTGTTTGTGTGTGTGTGTGTTCATGTGTATATTCACATGTATGTGTGTGTGTACACATTGGAAGCCAGAAGTCAACAGTGGGTATCTGCCTCTATTGTGCCCAAACCTTTTGGGGGGGGGGGGGGTGTGTTTTGGTTTTTGGAGGTTTTGTTGTTGTTGTTGTTTGTTGTTGTTGTTTTTCAAGACAGGGTTTCTCTGTGTAGCCCTGGCTGTCCTGGAACTCACTCTATAGACCAGGCTGGCCTTGAACTCAGAAATCCACCTGCCTCTGCCTCCCAAGTGCTGGGATTAAAGGTGTGAGTCACCACTGCCCGGCGTTGTTGTTGTTATTGTTGTTTGTTTTTGTGTTTTTTTTGGTTTTGTTTTGTTGGTTTTATTTTATTTTTGTTTTTGTTTTTTGAGACACAGACTCTCACTGACCCTGGGATTGACACTTTGCTAGACTGACAGGCCACTGTGCTCCAGGAAAGCACCTGTACCCACTCCCCCAGCACTGAGGTAACAGCCACCCAGCACCACATCCAGCTTTTATGAATGCTGGGGCTCTAACCTCAGATCTCCACACCTTTGCAGTAAAGCTTTTTGCCCACCAAGCCATCTCCCCAGCCTCCAGCTGAGAAGGAATTCCCTCAGGGACAAAGTTGTTTTCCATGGCTTGTCAGCCTCTATCCGCCAGTTCTTACATGGTGTAATCGTAAAGAAATCGATCGATAGGTTTGACACTTACAACCTTCTTTAGAGTATGGCATGTCTGGAGAGTAAGCATCTGAGTTTTTTGTATGAATGTGCACCATTGCATGCTATATCCATGGAGACCAGAAGAGGTAGCTACAGAGGGCGGCCATGTGGGTGCTGCCAACCTGAGTTCAATTCCCCGAACCCTCGTGGTGGAAGGAAAGAACATACTCTTGCAAGTTGTCTACTAACCTCCACATGTACTCTGTGATATACTTTGGTATGCATAATCACACACACACACACCAGAGAGAGAGAGAGAGAGAGAGAGAGAGAGAGAGAGAGAGAGAGAGAGACATACACACAGGCAATCAATGTACATTAATAAATAATATTAAAAGTTAAGTTGCAAGTGTGAAAAACCTTAGGGTTTCAAAGTTAGTGTGTCAGTCAAATATTGTAACATGTGGGACTGGAGAGATGGCTCAGCAGTTAAGAGCACTGAGTGCTCGCCCAGAGGACTCGGGTTCACTTCTCAGCACGTACATAATGGATCACTTTCTCTACTTCAGTTCCAGTGTATCCATCATTCTCTTCTGGTTTCCATGGGCACCAGACATCCATGTGGTGCAAAGATGTGCATGCAAGCAAAACACCCATATGTGTAAAATAAAAATACATTTAAAAATATTTTTAAAGATGGTGAGATGTCACAGGAATAAGTCTTTTTGAAGATTGAACATTCAAAATGAGATGATACCTTGACCTAACAGTGACAATCATAACATTAAAAATAATTTCACCTGCTTCTTCTTACTTTTTAATGTGACCATGAGATAACTTAAAATGACATATGACTTGTGTCCTTTTCCTATTGGACAGTGCTGCCCAATTATTCTCTCTAATCATGCCATCCAGTCTACTGTGCAAGGTTGACCCCCTAGGAGAACAAATGCCCTCACGCCTCTTCCCTTCTCCTCATCCCACCCAGCCACTGCATCCTTTTGCACTGTCTTCCTTGGTCCTCCACGTGACTGATAGCCACAGGCTCGTTGGAGCTTGATGGTCTCTTATTTCTATTACCAGGAACCTGGCTCCACCTCCCTGACCCCTGTAGCCAGTTCTTCAGTGGAGGCTCAGAGACCTGTAGCAGCCTAAACCAGAGGGCCAGCCTGCACTGCCCACCGTGTTGAATGTTATGTTTGCTGGCTTTGAAGAATCTAAGATATAAATAGCAGACGATAGAATCCTTCTGTATCAAGCCCAAGACTGACTTCCGCATGTCTTCAGATGTGCCTGCTGAGACAAGCCCAACCAGGTCCTAGCTCCTGAGACCTCTCATTGGGTCATAATTTATCCTTGGACCTCTGTTTCTAGGCAGAGCCAAGAATGGGGAGGGAGAAAAAGGAAGAAACATTTTAAATAGTTCTCAGAGAGAAGACCTTTTAGTTCCTTGTCTCTTGCCTCTGGGCACTGCAGTTTCCGAGTGGACCCCAAACTTGAGATCCCAGAAAAACAGGGATGCCCTGAGAGCTCTGAATGGAGCTGCAGACAGCCCCTCTCCTCCAGGCCACCTCAGCACTGAGAGACACTAGGCAGGGCTGCTTCTAATTTGCTTCCCGGAATTGGTGAAGGCAGCAGGGTGTTTTCCATTAGAGCATTCTCCCATCAAAGCAGATTTTCCAACAGTCTTCATCCCTCTGCAAGCAAGCTCTCTTTAACCCCAGCCATCAGCCTCGTCCCCTTTAAGTCCACACACAGGAAGAATTGCCCAGTTGGATCCAACCGGGAGGTCCTCTTCCGCTGAGGATGAGGCAAGGCAAGGCATCGCTCCAGGCTCTCCTGGTAGAGTTGAGGACTGGAAGGCTCAACTGAACTGCTGCTTTAGAACTCAGGTCTCTACATCCTCAGTAGCCAAGTGTGACTTTGTCCCACCACGAATGTATCGACATCTTGTTGGTTTTTCGTGCATCAGGAGTGATCATTGCATTCAAGGTCACTTCAGTTGTGTTGAACATGCTGTATATTTGCCACTGTGCTAGGCTCCCATGTTACAGAGAGGAACAGGCAAGGACCCTACCTCCCTAGAGCTTCCAGCAGGAAGAGACAGAGGTGAATTGATCCTCACCACAATTGGGTCAAACACGCTGGAAGGCAGGACAGGGTAGCCCGAGATCATTATGGATCAGATACTTTTAGACTGTGGGCAGTATTCCCCAAGGAGATGAGACTAGATCTGAGACTTCAAGGAAGAGGAGGCCAGCTGAGAGGGCTTCTGGGGAGCAGATTATAATTTGGGGGCAGGTAGCCAACTTGCAGTGTTTAGTGTGTCAGCCTCCGGCCTAGGTGTTTAGGGGCATACACTCATCTTGTCACAGACCCTGTGGGTTAAAAATAGCATCGTGTCCATGAAATAGTTAAGTAAACGGGTGATGGGGTTTTCCCAGGGCTTTTAACCACTGAGGATAACAGTGGTTTATTTGGAATGTTTAGATCTTCAAGGGGAGACTGGTCAGCACCTGGGCCCCATAGCCTCACTCAGGGCCCAGACAAGCATCCCTGGCATTTGTAGTTGCAGACCACATTCCAGAGAAATACAAGAAAGGCCAGGGTCCCCACCTCTGCAGCTTCTCATGGCAAAGCTTTGGAAGAAAGCCCTCAAAAACAAGTCGGAGGCTCTGCCCTGTGAAGGAAGGAGAAGGCTCTTCCCTTACAGTGGACTCCAAGCTGGAGCCATGGGATCCCAGAGCGTTCCTGGCACATGAGCATCCGTGAATCACTAGTTACCCTCCTGCAAGGCTAGAAGCCCAGGACTGGGCAAATTAAAACCAGACTTCAGAATGCATCCAAGCTTAACACCTCATGATTCCATTTCTGGGATTTAACTACCTTTTATTTTTTCCTTTTAGCAAAAAGACTTGATGAAGCCTTTCTTCCCAACCCATGCCCAGAAATAACAATTTAGATGACAGTTTTTAAAAAGGTAAGTGGGGTGGCGGCCGGTAATAGTTAACTTTTTATTTGACCCATTAAACCTCTCTTTGTGGAACATTTGTTGTATGTGAGGTATTCTGCAAGCACAGCCCCAGAGACAGGGACAGAAAGACAGACTGAGCAATCCGAAGGAACTGGATTTGCTCTGTCTGGGCCATGTAAGAAAAACTGACAGAAGAAAGAAAAATTGCTTGAGTTAGGGGTTTCTATGCCCTCTAATGTTTAGACCCCTATTTCTTTCCCCTACAGACTTTCTGAGTCTCAAACAATTATAAAGCAGCTATTTCTCTTAGTTTAATATTTGCTTGCGCATGTGCGCTTGCACTTGTGCATACGTGTTCGAGCTCGTGGGTACCCTCAGGTACTCGATAATGATGTCAGATCCTCTGAAGCTACAGATGACTGTAAGCTGCCCTATATAGACGCTGGGAATTGAACCCAGATCCTTTAGAAGAGCAGAAGGTACTGTTTACCACGGAACCATCTCTCCCGTCCCAAAGCAGCTAGTTCTTAAATATCTGCTTGAAAGTTTGTAAACAAGTGGCCAGCTAAGGTCATGTGCTTACAGGATTTAGGCATGAGAGGTATGACACAGTAAACAAACAAAAAAGTGGTTGAATGAGCCAGGAACGGGGAACTGCCTGAAAGAAGGGGTCAAGAAATACTTGGAAGAAGGTTGAAAGCTGAGCCTGGGAATGTGATAGAGGCCCTGTGGCTCTCCAACAAGCAAAGGAAGAGGGGAGCAGAGGCTGGGGTGAGGCTGAGGCCAGGTCATTTAGGGCCATTTGGGCCCTGTTAGGAGTTCCTGTGCTTGTGGCCTATAGCCAGAAGCTACTGGATAGGCTTGAAGAATGAGGTGGCTGACGGATGGATTTAAACTCTGGCTGGAGCGTGTGGAAGAGGTTGGGAGTCGTGGAGTAAGCACAGAAAAGGAGGCTGTTGAAAGTCCAAGTGAGGAATGAATCATGGGATGGGGTAGGCTGTGCAAACCTGAACCCTCATCTCTTGGCTAGGACCCTTGTTGAGCTTGTCATCACGAACACTCCAGAGGGGTCTCTCTCTCTCTCTCTCTCTCTCTCTCTCTCTCTCTCTCTCTCTCCCCCCCTCACTCCCTCCCCCCCTCCCTCTCTCTCTCTCTCTCTCTCTCTCTCTCTCTCTCTCTCTCTCTCTCTGTGTGTGTGTGTGTGTGTGTGAGAGAGAGAGAGAGAGAGAGGGAGATTTTATTTTATGTGCATTGTTGTTCATCTTGCATGGTATATCTGTGTGATGGTGTCAGAGCCACTGGAGCTAGAGACAGTTGTGAGCTGCCATGTGGGTGCTAGAACTTGAACCCAGGTCCACTGGAAGAGCAGCCAGTGCTCTTAATTACTAAGTCACCTCTCTAGCCCCCTATATTGTCTGTTTTTGAGACCAGGTCCCTTGTAGTCAAGGCTGGCTTTGAACTTACTATATAGTTGAGGATGGCTTTGAACTCCTGACTCTTCTGCGTCCATTTGAGTCCTGTGATTACAGGTGTCCACACCACAGAGGACAAGAGATTTTTCTCAAGTGTCTGATTACCAAAGTAAATATCACCTTGACATTTTCAAAGTCATGCGAGATGCACGTGTATAAAACTGTAAAATAAAATACATCTTTAAGGATGTTATGTGTGGCTTTGGCACGTGCTTCAAGGTCTCTTCCATAATCTGGGACGTTTGGAAGGAAAACATCTAAGCAATGCTGACAGCCGGGAAAGCATTTGTATATCAGGGGCAGCCAACACCAAGTTCAAATATAATTCATGCTACTAGCATGAGCAAAATTGCCGTTCTGGGCATGTGGGAGGAAGGTGCAGAAGGGAAATAGGTAATGTGGGGTAAGCATGGTCTCCAGGCATGGCTGGCCATGGATAAACCCTGTTCCCTGATGCTGTGACAGCGGATAAATCACTTCACCTCTTAGAGCCTCAGTTTCTTCCTTTAAAAACTTCCTTTTGCCTTCATAGGGTTACTGTGCCCTTCTAATAAACTCAGTGCAGGTAAAGAGTTTCATCCAGACCCTGGATCATTGGAGGTGCTTAATAATGTCACTTTGTCTCTGCCTCCATTGTCATTGACAACCTCCCTAAATTGGCTATATGTTAATGTAAAAGGCAGAGAGAGAAAGTTACCCCATCTAGATGGGCTGGGGTCTTGCTCCCGCTCCTTCCCTAGTCTTCTCTCCAAGGCCATCATATGGGTGGTGGTGTGAGCATGACGCTCAAGGCAAAGCAGAGCTATTTGGAGTCTTGTTTTTCTTGGAGGTGCCTGGGAAGCAAGGGGACTCTTCTCTGCCTTCAGCTCTGGAAGCAAATCGAGTCCACTGCCTTTCTTTCCAAAGCTATTCCTGGCTCCAGCTGCAGGAATGTCTCTGGGGATGCAAGAACCTTCAGGCTCCAGCTTCAGAGAAAAAATAAAAATAAAACATCTCCCTGTGTGTCCCAGAGCAGCCCGCCCCGCCCCGTAGGCTCTGGGGCCTGCTTCAGCCAGCTGTCACTGAGAGGCCACTGTAGAGACGACTAGGCTGGAGGGAGCAAGTGTTCTCCCTCTGAGGGGCCTTGTGGCTGTACTTTGGCATAGAATAAAGGGAAACACTGTGGTACATTAGCTGTCTCCCTGCTGTGACTTTAGCTGTTCTCTGGATTCACATCTACTTGTAAAAGTCACCCCATCTCTTTCCTCTCTCCCTCCCTCTCTGTTTTCCTCCTTCCTTCTCTCTCTTTCTCCCTCCCTCCCTCCCTCCCTCCCTCTCTTACTAATATGGAATGTTTATAGATCACAAACTTCCAGATCGGTTTTTTTTTTTTTTTTTGGTTTTTCGAGACAGGGTTTCTCTGTGTAGCCCTGGCTGTCCTGGAGCTCACTCTGTAGACCAGGCTGGCCTCGAACTCTCGAACTCAGAGATCCGAGTGCCTCTGCCTCCCAAGTGCTGGGATTAAAGGCATGTGCCACCACCGCCCAGCAGATCGTTTCTACACTGCTTGGAAAATTAACTTTCATTCTTAAGACCCCCAGGTGTGCTTTAGCTCCTAAATGGGTGGGTGAGGGTTGCTCTGTGGCGAAGCACTTGGTTAGTATGCATGAGACCCAGGGTTCAATTCCCAACTCAGGGGAAAAAAATCCAAATTACACTAGCCCATTTCTCACAACTCTCATCTCATTGGGCAGGAAGAGGAAAGGGTGAAAGGGGTCTGAGGGGTGCCTGGGCCAGTTTTCCAGAAGCATCGGTCACTGATGCAATACTAATATATATTATGCTGAGAAAGCCTGACACAAGAAATATAAAGTATGGTCACCTATGTTTGCTTCCCTCTGTTCCTTTGTAAACAAACACCAGTCAGTGACTGGAGCTCAAATCTAGCCTGAGAAACTCAGTGAGACTGTGTCTCAAAAGGAAAAGAAAGGAGAGGGAGCTGGCAATGCAGCTTTAGTGGTAGAGTACTTGTCTGGTATGGGGGAAGCTCTAACCTGGACCGGGAGCTAAGGAGGGACCAGCTTGTTCCAAGGGGAACCAGCCAAGACAGCTCAAAAGCCTGGGCAGCTGTCAGCATCAAGACCAAAGCAGGATGGGAAAGCCAAGGGAGTGGGGAAGGGGTGTGAAGGACTCAGGAAGAACCCTGAGCTGCGTCAAAGCTTGAGTAATGTCCCCATCCTGCCTCCAACTTCCATCAGCCTCAGCCAGCCCGATTACTATGAACGCAAATTATCCAGCCCTGCCCCTGAGCTACTTGTGCATAAACTCAAGGTTTGAGACTCAACCATCTGCATTTTAACAAGCCCTCTCCCAATCTGATTGATAGACTCTCCTTAAAAAAAAAAAAAAAAAAACAACTACTTTCTTCTAGCCCTTTGCTGTTTGAGGAGGAAAACTAGGAGTCGGAGAGGAAACAGGGCTAGCCTGAGGTCACAAAGAAATTACCACTGAGAGCCATCCATACAGCAAGAAGATATGGCCATTATGTTTGTTCTCCCCCCCAGCATCCTCCTGGGAAGAGAGGCTGTTGATGACCAAGCACCTGAGATGGTCTGTTGACAGGCCTTAAGCAAGCCCCTGATTTCTGCTCTAAGCCCCAGTTTGTGTATCTGCACAGAGAAGGTGGGGAGAAGAGGCTCTCCCACTGTGCCCCACACTGATGCTCAAACCTTAAGGATACAATGACACTGTCTATATCAGCGGTTCTCAACCTTCCTAATGCTGCCACCCTTCAATACGTCTCCTCATATTGTGGTGACCCTCAACCATAAAGCTCTTTTCACTGCTACTTTGTAACTATAATTTTGCTACTATTATGAATCGTAATGTGAATGCCTGTGTTTTCCGATGGTCTTAGATGACATCTGTCAAAGAATCATGTCACTCCTGAAGGGGTGGTGACCCATTGGTTGAGAACCACTGATCGGGATGGATATCTGTGATGGAAGAAAGTAAGGCAGACAGAAATGCAATTGAGTCCAGGCCTCCTCCTCCCCCTCCTCTCTTCCTCCTCCCCTTCTTCCTCCTCTCCCTCCCTCTCTCCTTACTCCTCCCCCTACTTTCTCCCCCTCCTCCTGATGCCTTAGGACTGGACAGTAGTATGTCAGCACCATGTCCACTCTCACCTGTTCTTTTGTCACCCACAGGTGACCACCATGATCTCCTGGGTGCTCTTGGCCTGTGCCCTCCCGTGTGCTGCTGACCCGATGCTTGGTGCCTTTGCTCGCAGGGACTTCCAGAAGGGTGGTCCTCAACTAGTTTGCAGCCTTCCTGGTCCCCAAGGACCACCTGGCCCTCCAGGAGCACCAGGATCCTCAGGAATGGTGGGAAGAATGGGTTTTCCTGGGAAAGATGGCCAAGATGGCCAGGACGGAGACAGAGGGGACACTGGAGAAGAAGGTAAGAGACCTGTACCTGCCCTCATGTCTCACCCAGGGTTAACAGCATCTGTCTCAGAAGGTGCTTTAGAGCTCCTGAAACTAGCTAGCACCCATCACCATCTTTTTTTTTTATAACCAATTGGAAGAGAATAGATGAAGACTATCAATCTGCTGAGTTTTTAAATCGCTAAGTGGTGAGTTGAAGCTAGCCTGTGAGCTGTTATTCAAAGCACTTGGTTTGCAGCTGACATCAGCTCAATTAACAGACCCAAATGAGATTACCTGATTCGTGAAACTGTGAAGAAAAAGAGCCTTGAGATTCAGAAATGGCTTGGCCCTGGGGTTTAATTTTTTTTTTCCCTGAGGTTCTGCCTCTCCCTGTGTGTTGGTTTCATCCCCCTAAAAGCTGGATGTTCTGAGAGAGCAGCTGGTGCGTTCAGGTCTCCACCCTTACAGCTTCATCCATACCTGTTTTTTTTTTTTTTAACCTTTTTTTCAGGGAGATGTGGGGCCACCATTTGCCAAGGTTGCATCCTGGGCCAGCCCTGGTTGTTTTTAAGTGAGTGGTGGAAACATTTAGTCATTGTTTTTGACAGTTCCACGGTGACCCACACAGAGTATACCTGATCCAAATAGAAATCAGGTAGACACGGGACAGACTAGATACTGTCTTTAGGTTCCTTCTATTTAGACCTTCCCTCTATCTATGACCTTTCACCCCTGCTCTGTATGATACCAGCATCCTCAAATGTACATCTGAAACAGGAAAATTATAGCAGTTTTCTCTTCATAGTGCTAGAAATTAAACCCAGGACCTTGGGGAGGTTAAAAACACACTCTACCCTTTCAGCCCCGTGATAGATTTTACTTATATAGCATTTTGAGTAAGTCATTCATCAGATTATCAATACCATCCTGGGTGGAAAATGTCCTTATTATTCCAAGGTTCAAATGAGAAGAGTAAGAGTCAGGGTGACAGGGTTAAGAGGAGCTCGTCACAGCTCCAAGAGCTTAAGCTCTAAGAACAACCTGGGGCATTGATTTTGACAAGTGTCTTAACCTCCCCTAACCATAGCATCCTCATATCTGCAGCAGTGATACCAACAGAACACCTCACCCAAGGTCCCGAAGTCAGTGTGACAATGTTACTCACCCCTAACCTGATTTCCTGAACTTAGACTCCAAACCCATAGTCTTTCCTATCACACAACTCCTCCAAATGTACCTCTTCCTAGGGGAAGACCTCTGACAACATTGGAAATGCTTGAACCCGAGGAGGTCCTGCGGGGTGCTATGCACTGGGTGTCACTATCCCACATTCTTTGACCCAGTGACATATTCAGGTCAAGCAGGGCCTGCCAGAGCTTTCCTGGAGATTTACTTGCCTGTGGATCCTGTGGGAGATGGTCTCTGGGTCGACTGCTTTCCTTGATCAGGAGCAAGAAGGGAACAGGTCTGGGATTCTGAATCATCTCTCCTGTCAGAAGTCAACTGACCGTTAAGAAGACAGCGTGGAGAGGTAGAAATTGAACAGCTTGGTGTGGGTAACCCAATCAATTCCAGGTCACCCTTTGTCAGGAGCAGGATGAGGTCTAGCCACGCCCTCAACCAACAAATGTAAACCCATCTCTAGAAAGGTATCAGGAAGGTGTTTCCTGAAGCCTTTCAGAAGGTAACAAAGAAGGAAGCAGACCACTCAGCCACCCAGCCACCCAGACACACAGCCACCCAGACACCCAGACACCCAGACAGACACCCAGACACCCAGACAGAGGTAGAAGTTCCTGCTTTGCTTCCTTAACTGTATTACTGGGAAAGAATGGCAAACCAAAGTGTCCATACATGCGATTGTGTTCACACGTGTGTGTTCATGTGCATGTGAGTACCCAAGGAGGCCAGATGAAGACATTGAAGCACTTGGAGCTGGAGTTAAAGGTGGCTGTGAGCTGCCCAACATGGGTGCTGGGAATGGAACGCTGGTCCCCTGCAAAGTGCTCTTGATGGCTGAGCGGTCTCCCCACTCCTTAATTTCCATTTTCATCAAGGACTCATCGAGTTTGTTTCCCCTGCACCCACATTTGTCCTTTATCCCTTTTTGGTGCAAAGTGTGCCCTACTACTGACCTAACTGTCCTACCCTTATTTTATTAACTGACCATACAAGTAAATGGCTTCATATATTAGTTGTATGAGTAAACACGCCGTGTAATTTACACACCTAGAGAAGAGTCAGGAAGCGTGCACACCCGATTGATGCACAGTAGTCCTGTCTTTAAAAATGAGAGGAAAAGGAGGAATGTGAGGGAAGGGTCCTCTGATATTTGTGCCATTTGAATTTATCACCAGGACATTGTATCTGTGTTACTCACGCAGTTTAAAAATGGCTCCTTGCTGGAGAGAGGTTTCCATGGTTAAGAACTGTTTCGGGAGTATTAAAACGGATGGCAGTTCCCACGCTAGCCCAGCACCGGCGGACCACGTGGCCCCAGTGGGATGTTCTCATTTCGGCAGACCCTCTGACTCCGGGCCCCTAAGATGTCCCACTGGCGGGTGACTACCATGCCAGCCCTGTGCTTCAAATCTCCCGCGGCCTTTGTGGTGCACATCAGGCAAACCCACACTTTCCCTCTTGAACTCAATCGAGTCACTGGGAGAAGAAAAACATCACACAAACTTAGTTCAGAAACAATGATAACTCAATCTCTATGTACAACAACCAGAATGCTAATCTTGTAAGCCTTATTAAATCTAAATCCTCCATTGAGGAATCCTGGCTGAACCGGGAGACACTAGTAGCTACATCTTGCCCTATCCTGTCCAAACCGCCTCTAACCTCTCTCCTGCTCCTTTTCTTCCTCAATCCAACCCAGATGTCCCGCCCCCTTGTGCGGAGCCCCTCCCAGGAGAGTGGAATTAGCATTAAAATACAAACAGCATCAGAACCATTCACAACAAAGAACACTGGCTGACCTTCCAGAGAATCCAGGTTTGGTTCCCAGTAACCATCTATAACTCCAGCTCCAGGAGATCCAATGCCTTTTTCTAGCCCTAGGGGCCACACAGGCACCAGGCACGTGGGTGGTACATAGAATTACATATAAGCAAAACACCCATAAGCATAAAATAAAATTTTTTGAAAATGACTCCTGAAAATTAGATTTTCAATTAAGAAAAAATGCTATTTGGAAATCTATTTCCCTATTATTTAAAGTAATAACTGTTTAAATATACAACATTAAGCTCAAGACTATACTGTAATATGCATTAGGATCCTCTAGGAGAACAGAACCAATAGAATGAACATCTGTTACTGTCATATTGTTCTATAGCTGTGAAAAGTCACCATGACCAAATGTGCTCGATAGTCTTATGCCAACTTGACACAAGCTAAAGTCATCTGAGAGGAGGGAACCTCAAATAAGAAAGTCCCTCAATAAGACTGGTCTGCAGACAAGTCTGAAGGTCATTTTATTAATTACTGATTGACAGAGAAGCACCAAGCCCATTGTGGGTGGTGCCATCCTGGGCTGATGGTCCTGTGTTCTATAAAAAAGCAGGCTGGAGGCTGGAGAGATGGCTCAGTGGTTAAGAGCACTGACTGCTCTTCTAGACGGACCTGGGTTCAATTCCCAGCACCCACATGGCAGCTCACAACTGTATGGAACTCCTGTATACCCTCATACAGACATTCAGTCAAACCACCAATGTGCGTAAAATAAAAATAAATAAAATGTTTTTAAAAGGAAAGGAAGAAAGGAAGGAAGGAAGGAAGGAAGGAAGGAAGGAAGGAAGGAAGGAGAGAAGGAAGCAGGCTGAGCAAGCCACGGGGACTAAGCCAGTAAGCAGGATTCCTCCACGGCCTCTGCATCGGTTCCTGCCCTGCTTGAGTTCCTGTCCTGACTGCCTTCAATGATGAACAGTGATGTGGAATTCTAAGCCAAATAAACCCTTTCTCCCCAAATTACCTTTCTAATGGTGTTGCTGCAGCCGTAGAAACACTAACTACGACACCAAAGCAACTCTTATTAAAGAAAGCATTTAACTGGGGGCTTGCTTGCAGTTTTGGAGTCTTAGTCCTTTATCATGGCAGGGAACTTGGCGGTGGGCAGGTGTGGTGCTGGGAGATTAGCTGAGAGCGCCAGATCCTGATCCATGATCAGAGAGTGGGGAGGGGGACTGGGCCTAGAGTGAGCTTTTGAAACCTCAAAGCCCATCTCTGGTCAACTCCTCCAATAAGGCCACACCTCCTAATCCTTAGTCTATTTAGTCTATGGGGGCCATTCTCATTCAAACCACCACATTCCACTCTGTGGCTCCCATAGGTTTGGAGCCGCATCATAATTCAAAATACATTCAGTCCAACTTCAACAGTCCCCATAGTCTATCAGTCTTAAAACTGTTTAAAAGTCCAAAGTCTCTTGTGAAACTCAAAGCCATCTCTTGTAACCCGTACCCCCTATAACCTCTGTAAAAATCAAAATCAAAAAGCAGCTCACATACTTCCAATATACAATGACACACAGAATATACATGGCCGTTCCAAAAGGGAGGACAAGCAGATTAGTGAGGACCAAAGCAAGACTGAAAACCAGCAGGACAAACTTCAAATTCCGCATCTCAATGTCTGATTATCAGAGTGCTCTTCGGAACTCCAACTCCTTCCAGCTTTGTTGACTGCAACAAATTACAAAGAGGGTATGGGTCAGATAGTCCAAACTGACCATCTGCATGGTGGGAAGGCTGAGAACCCAGTGGCTGCTCAGTCCAAGAGGCTGGATGCCTCAGCAGCTTCAATTCGGTGGCGGCTGCAGGTAACAGCCTTTTTCAAAGATCTCTCTATATCTGGGACATAGCCAGAAGGTGCTGTCCACTCTAGGACATCGTCTTCCTCGTTCGGTTAATCCTTCCCTCCTAGGCCTGCCCAGAGGCACGTCTCCTGGCTGATTCCTATCCGATCAAATTGACCAAGATTAGCCATCACACAGTGATGCCTACATACTACATAGAAGAAACAAAGTACCTTGTCAAGGCATAAAATTCCTAAAATGTTTCCCCATCCTCTGCTTCAGTGTATGCAACCATCCTTGCCCTGTGTCTGACAATCTCAGATGTTCATTAGTACCAGTGACTCTCCAATACAAGGCCTTCGATGGGCATTTGGCATGCCTTTTAATGCCTTTGCATGTAACCCTGCCATTCAGACAATGCACGGCTAGGTTAAGATAGACTACAAGCCCCCGTCCACATATGTTTTTGCTAAAAACGTGTTGAGGAACCGTGCCTGGTGGTTCATACCGGAATCCCAAAGTTCAGGAGGTAGGAAAGGAGTCAGCAGGCTATAGCCAGCCTTGGCTTTGCAGCGTGTTCACACCAGCCCTAGGCCACATGAGACTGTTGTTGTTAAAGGATCTGAAGTGTAAATGTCTCCAATACAATCTTCGGCACAAAGATACTGTTCGTAGGAAAGTATGTATCTTATGAATAAAGTCAGTATTAAAAACCACAAAATGGTTCCTGAGCAAACATTCAGGGATGTTCTGCAGGATCTGCCAACTGATGTTTAACAATGAGACAGTGTTTACCCGACACCATCCTGTGCACTGAAAGAACACAGGAATCAATAGCATTGGTGTTTCCTTGTCACTTTTATACAGCATGGAAATCCACCTCCTTCTTTTTGTTTTCCTGAGACAGAGTCTTTCATAGTCCAGGCTGGCCTTGAACTCACTATGAAGCCAAGATGATCTTGAACTACTGATGCCCACACCCCTGCCCCCAAACACACACACATACACACACACACACACACACACACACACACACACACACACAGTCCTAGGACTGTTTTAAGATTACTGGAGTTTGTCGCCATGTCCAGGAGTTCATACATGCTAAGCAAGCACTACCAACTGAGCTCCATCCCCAGCCCAGTGAATTAGCCTTCTGATCCGATTCCCAGTGCTTCTAAACGCATCAAAACCCTGGTTTTCCTGAAAAGACCAAGAGAATTTCCTTGGGCTGTGTTCCCAGCACCTTCCACATGCTCCACACCCTTCTCGTTCCCTCCACCCAAGGGCTCCGCCGAGTTTTTACCCATCCCTTATAAAACCAGCTATTCTGTGTTCCAGGTCCACCTGGCAGGACAGGCAACCGTGGGAAACAAGGACCGAAGGGCAAAGCTGGGGCCATTGGGAGAGCTGGCCCTCGAGGACCCAAGGGGGTCAGTGGTACCCCCGGGAAGCATGGCACACCAGGCAAGAAGGGACCTAAGGGCAAGAAAGGGGAACCTGGGCTCCCAGGCCCCTGCAGCTGCGGCAGTAGCCGAGCCAAGTCGGCCTTTTCCGTGGCGGTAACCAAGAGCTACCCACGCGAGCGACTGCCCATCAAGTTTGACAAGATTCTGATGAACGAGGGTGGCCACTACAATGCATCCAGTGGCAAGTTCGTCTGCAGCGTGCCGGGGATCTATTACTTTACATATGACATTACGCTGGCCAACAAACACCTGGCCATCGGCCTGGTGCACAATGGCCAGTATCGCATTCGGACTTTTGATGCCAACACCGGCAACCACGACGTGGCCTCGGGCTCTACCATCCTAGCTCTCAAGGAGGGTGATGAAGTCTGGCTGCAGATCTTCTACTCGGAGCAGAATGGACTTTTCTACGACCCTTACTGGACCGACAGCCTGTTCACCGGCTTCCTCATCTATGCTGACCAAGGAGACCCCAACGAGGTATAGACAAGCTGGGGTTGAGCCTCCAAGCAGGGACTAAGATTCTGCATAGGTGCTGATGGAGGAAGACCCCTGGACTGGGGCTGGAGACTGGCAGTTTTGGGAGCTTTTATTCCCAGACAGGCCTCCTTCTATTGCTGCTTTAAAAAAAAATGATTAAATCCAAGCTTTTGATTCATCTATTTATCTGGTCACTCGCTAATGATCTTAGTATCTGTCGAGTAACAGGCACTGGGTTATACTCTGTGAGGTATATACACCAGTGGCAAGACAGAGTGCCTATCCTCCTGGGAAAGACAATTCACAAATAGAGCAAATTATATAAATGGGCATAGGCAAAGTACCTGAAATATTTATTTAATATTGAGTTCATCTCTGAAGTCTGCTTGCATACAGACATACATTTTAAGTGGCAAACATGTGTACCCTGTACCACTGGATAGATGGGGGGGGACAACTATCACTCTCCTCAACCCTGCTCCCACCCACCCCCATCATCCCCCACCCACCACCCCCATCTCCCAACAGCTCTCTGGGACTCCTTCAAGCCAGAACAGCTATTCCTCTGCTTACATTAGTATTATGTTAGAAACACAGTAAGTTTTAAAATATTGCTCAGTTAAAGATACATTCAAAAGTGAGTTGCCTAGCTACACAGCACACAGAAGAGCAATTGCTCACCCTGTTGGGTTGCCTACTCTCACCGTTGCAAAGGCCAATGTCCTACACATAGATAGTGAGGGGAAAGATCAAATTCCAGGCAGTTCCTACTGAACGTGTGTTATTTTTACACCATCATAAAGTCAAAATTTCATAGGTCAAAGTATTGTAAATCAGAAACCTCTCTGAGGGCACAGAGAAGCTGATCCCTGAAGCAGGACACGGGGCAACAGGAGAATCTGAAAAGAATGTTCTTCCAGCAGAATGACCTGGCAGTAGGTGCAAATGCCCTCTCCACCCAGGGAGCCTGGTGCACCTGAGGAACTGACTGGGGCCGGAAGAACTGGGAGATTAAGAATAAGAGACTCATGAGGCTGAAAGATCACACAGAACCTCACAGGACATAGTCACGTTCCTTCCGATTAGAAAGCTGGCTTAGCTTCTACCTGTAACTCCAGCATTCTGCTGACTGAGGCAGAAGGATTGCATTCAGTTCAAAGCTAGTCTGGGCTAAGGGTGAAACTGCCTCAAAAAAAAAATATTAAATTATCAGTATGCAGAAGGAGTGTGATGTTGATATGAGGACAATCCTGAGCCTTCTCGGAGTTTAAGTGCAGTTCATCGAGGACCCAGGCATTTTATTATTATGTGGTAGCTCACTGCTCAGTTGGTGACGAAGAGCAGGATTTCACTGCATGCCTGGTGACAGGAATGAATAGCGCTGACGTAAGTCTACCCTGGCCAGGTGTTTTCAGAATGCAGAGCAAAAGAAGCCTCCATGCAAGAGGCTAGTGCTGTGAGCCCAGATCAATTCCTGGAGATTTTCCTCTTAGAGTCACAACATTCAAGCACCTTGCGTTCACTGCCCCCTGGTGGATACTCATGGGATGACAGGTAGTGAATGGGCTGGACCCAGTGCTAATAAAATAAGATTTATTTAGTCATCCTCACAGAATTTGCCACAAATGGAATAGGGTAGTGTCTAGAAACCAGACAGGACTCTGTGGCCCAAATAGATCAACATGTTGTCAGGGTTCTACCTGGGGTCCCTGCAGAAGGGTCAGCCTCCGAGATGGAGTTGCACCTTCATTTTTAAAGTCCCCCCCCTTCCTTTGTTTAAAAAATGTGTTTTTTTGTTTTTGTTTTTTAAAAAAACAGGCTAGCTGATGAGTGCCTTTAATCCCAGCACTCAGGAGGCAGATGCAGGTGAATCTCCGTGAGTAGGAGGCTAGCCTGATCTACATAACAAATTCCAGGACAGCTAGGGTTCTATTTTTTGAGACCCTATTCCTTTGTTCTATTTGTGGCAGCTTCTTGAGTGCTCTGAGAACCTGGGCCTGTCTGAGATCTTCTCTTTGTGTATACACTGAAGAAGACACAGAATTTTGTGCGTCGACACAGAATTTTGTGCGTCTTTAGTCCAAAGGTCTTCTCTCCTTCAGTACACTCTTTGAAAAGCAGCTGCCTGCTTCTTGGTTTTTGAGGTACGGTTTCTCTGTGTAGTTCCGCTGTCCCGGAACCCGCTCTGTGGACCAGGCCGGCCTCACACTCAAAGAAATCCGCCTGCTGGGATTAAGGCCTGTGCCACCTGGAGAAGCTTGGAGAACATCACCTCTGATCACGACAGTGCAGAGAGCTTCCAGCCTGACTGACAGACAAACCTTAGGCCTCCCCTGACAAGTGCTTGTTGTAGCCCACGTACATAAGGGCTCTTCCTCTGCAGGTTTATGATCAAAATTACGGCAGGAGAGAATGAGACATCCATATCAGACACAAATTTTAAAAGGATGACCAAAGACTCAATACTCTACACATTTCATTTTAATGTATAAATTATAATTTATAATATTTTAATACAGACTGTTAATAAGTCAATTACTGCAAAAACAAAGAGCAAAATTCAAAGTTGGGATCGGACAGGGCTGGGGTTACGGTAAGGTAAAGAGAGACGGGACGGGGGTGAGGACGGGGGCGGGGGAGATTTAGTTCTACAAGTACAAACTGCATCAAAATTGCATTGGCAGCCCACCAACCCTACCCTGCTCTCCCCTATCCCCACCCCACTCTTCACCGCCACCATAATAGAAAGAAGCCGCTTCCGTGCTGCATGTAATCCTTACTTGTGCCACTAGAGGGAGCACACCTACCACACAAACCTCCAGTAAGCCACAGGGGGCTGGAAAAAACCAGCAGGCCTCTGCAGCACGCAGTTTCTTAGACTCAGAGCCCAAGACAAAAGGGAGTCTCAGGCCAGGGTTCCAGGGCGGCCATGATCTTGTGCTGGAAATAAAAGAAAAAAAAAAAAGGAATAAAGTCAGCCCCACCTTTTCTGGACATCCGCACTCAGGGCACAGTTCTGAGCACCCTGTTTGTGTCAGAGACAGCCTGAGACGGGGCAGGAGCGCCAGCTCTTGCAAAGCAAGAAAGGAGTCCAGTCCGGATCCCTTGTGTGGTTTGAGTCAGTAACATTTGTGGCTTTAACAAAATGAAGGGTTGGTCAGGTGATCTCGGAACCAATTTGGGCATCAAATGTTGATCTCTCTCTTCAAAGCAGAGTCAGGAAAGGAGATTCCTTAAAGTACACACACAGTAAGTAGCACTGCTGCAGCAATCTCCACACTCAGGCCTCTGCTTCCACTGAAGATGTGTGTGTGTGTGTGTGCGCGCGCGCGCGCTCGCACGTGCACGCGCCTGTGAGCACACACACACTCATACACACACTGAGACCAGGGAAGGATGGCAGGTGTCATTCATGATCTATCATTTCCCATCTCATTCCCCTGAGTCAGAGTCACTGAACTTGGAGCTAGGCTGATGACTAACAATCCCCAGAAATCCTTCTGTCTCTGTCCCCAATAGTACTGGGGTGACAGACTCGTGGTTCAACATGCCAGGCTTGGATGTGGGTTTGGGGAATCTGTATTTAGGGCCTTTTCTGATCAGTGTTCTTACACACTGAACCATCTTCCCACCCCACAGCGAAGACATCGGTTATAACAAATCACTGTCAAATCTCCTGAGCTACATTATAAATGACGGCAACACTTACTGAACACTCGCTGTATGCCGCCTTTGCTGTGTGTGGCCTCCTCCACAGTTCACGAGACTGTGAGCAGCTTCCAAGACCACCAACCTCCCTTCATAGACACAGTGAAGCAGTAGAGACCGCAAATCGGAGGAGTCCTGTGAGCAGCTTCCCAGTGAGAGACAACCAGACAAACCAGGAGAGTTGTCTGGACTTTGATGTGTTTCTGAGTAGGTGAGAGTTGGGTCCAACTATCTCCCATCCCTAAAGCGTGATCTGCTCTGCTCCAAGGACAGTGTCCTTCCGATTCAGCAGATGTCCCGGGGACTCGCTGAGGGTTATCTGGAATTCACCTAGGTCCTCAGGTCAGACCTTTGAAGCCATCTTGTACCACAACCTACCCAGGCTTTCAGAGCAGTGGACTGCCTCTCCTTGGGACCCTCTGGTTCCATAGTCTGAGGGTCACAGTCCAAGCTCCTTGCCCCTGGGTCTGAGGGCAGGAAACCCCACATTAGCATGGCTCCTTCACTCTTCAAGAGCTATAGCCCTTCTCTGCTGTAGAGACAGAAGCCTAAAAAGAAATTTCCAGAAGAGGCCACAGATAGCTCTGGGAAAATACCACACCCTCCCCCACCCCACATTTAAGACATTCTTCATCTACTTTATAATTTTTTCCCTCACATTAGCACTAATTTAAAGACAAGATTGTAGCCGATGCCTTCATAACCACAGCAGGCTTCTTGTGTCTGCCTCACATAGAATCTTCCAGCTGAGGCTGGCAACTCTCCAACATGTGTGAGCCGTTTAGTACACAAACAGAACTACACTTGGAGGTCTCAGAGGTCAAAGGCTATCCAAAGCGTTCACCCAGATAGCGGAACATCTTCCCAGCTGACCCACGGTCCCTTGGCTAAGCTGTGTGGGCAAATGGCTGTCATGCCTTCTGTAGAGTAGCCCCTAAATGGCTGCTAGACTGCCAAGTTTGCATATTCAACAAATATTTATTGAATTGTAACTACGTGCCAAACTCCACCTTAGGCACTGGGGATCCTGTGGTGAGCTTAGAACTGGATACAGGTGACAGATATTGGATAAAGATCCACACAAATAAAAAACAAAATATCCACAAGAATGGCACAAAGAGGCTTTATCTGACAAGGTGCTAGGGCATACCTTTACTGGTAGTCACAAGGGAGCTGGGGGGGGGGGGGGGGGAGTTAGGCAGGGGGTCCAGGTAGGAGAGTAGGGGTGTTTACATGCAAAAATCCTGAAGGAGACAAAGCGTGGAAGCTGGAAGGAATCAAAGATGCTGCCATCAGGATGGAGCAAAGACCCACACACACACCTCTGTCATCAGGGTGGAGCAAGATGAGACTCTGAGGCAGCCCAGCCCTGACTTCAAAGGCTGGAATGGCAAATGGAAGGCTCGTACTTTGACCCCAAGTGTAGCTGAAAACCATAGGATGATCTTAAGTGGGCAGGCAGTGTATGTCACCGGC